CTCTCTGATGATATATAACTTTGTGTCATATTGAATAAATTATTTATCTTCATCATTTGACTCACATATATAACCAGGTTTCACACTATCTTTTGATTTCGAATAATGAATCCTTTTCATTGAGCTGAATCTTAATTCTCATATTGATTCTTATCGGAAAACATACTTGTGTATTTTTGCATCAATAAAATTCTCATCAATAAACAGAAAACAGACATTTTGAAGGCTTATAAGTATTCTTTTGTGATTTGACGTTGGGATTAGCAAGCTTGTGTGTACTTTTCTTCAATAATTAAATTTTAATTCATTTTTTATATTTTTCCACTCATCATCTATTTTACATTTTCATCGTAAAAGAAACTGGCAAGTAAAATGTCAAATATATTGAGATCTTCCTTTTCCATATAGCCAAAATACTCACATTTGAGAGAAGTTTGCCATGTTAATAATTGAATTCAATTCTTATATTTCTTTTTTAGAGACACACAACAATTTTACAAAATTCCTTTACATCCACATACTTTTGGTATATTATTTGTAATGTTGGAGTATTCAGCATACATAACTTGTGGCATTTCACCCAATTCATCATCCATTCATTAGGCGACGCTTTTGCTACGATGAAACGCACATTCGAAGAAGAGATCTTGACATTAAACTTAAGAAATCAAGGTCATTGGCTCATCTATACCATTATGATATTCATGCACAGGTAGATGTTAACACTATGGAATCGATTCAGGATGGTGGCTTTAAGTATTTAGCAATTTAGTCTGAAACAGAAAAATGGCAGCTTATTCTGCAGATAGGCGAAGAATTCACATTTCCATCTCCACACACACAACTAAATATGATGAGTGGAGTAAAATTGTCTTGTTTAGGAAGAATTCAATTCCTGAAATCCCAGAAGAAGGTAAAAAGGGAGAAAATTTTCTACAAGAGTATTTTTGTATGCGTGTTGCAATTACTAAAAATTTTAATAATATACAACATGTTGTCTATGATGTGCAAATTGAACAATCAACATCTTCTTAACCCCTAAATGTTGTGAAATTGTAGTGATCCAATATACAGTTCTCAAATGCATACGTTGGGCGTGAAACACCATTTGGCGAGAAACTACTTTGACTTCAACCACATTGAGCATATGTTTATGTTCTTTTTACAGATTTCCGTGTACTCACGAAAATTTACATTAACAGGTTGGTAAGGATAGGTTTCAACATAAAAATACACGACTCGAAAAATTGGAGACAGATGATGGTTTACCAACTGAAGGGATCGAAGCAATTGGTTACACAATGTTGAAAAACCATTCACACTTGATTGGGTGTAAAGCTCCTCACAAGCTGGCTTGCGAGCTGGCTCATGCGGAGCCTTAATTGGGTGATGTCACGTATTTATCAAGAAATCAAATTTGTAAAATCAATTGGTATAGGGAAAACATCTGTGATGTACAAAGGCCTTTACGATAATGATAGAGTATTACAATATGCACATTCCTTGAATGTTTGCAACAAGGAGATGGAGATAATGGAGAAGTTGGATTTAGCTTGCTTTCTCAAAATACCCGATCTTAATTTAGCTGATTATGGTAACACTGGCATGACTTTTATTGTCTTGGCTCCATTATGCAAACCATTTGGAGAATGGATATTCTCCTTATTGTCGATAAATTGAAACAGGTATAGGCATAATGCATTGCGATTTTCGAAAATGGAGGATTTCCTGCAAATGAACCACTTTTACTGGAGCTTTGAAGACATTGTCAGATGATGCATCACAGATCAAATATACTCTTGGTATTGAGTTGGCCTCAGTGGCCTGTTCTTTTAATGCTTCATCAACCATTGTTGAAGCACCCTTTGTCTATAATACACCATTTAGAAGTTTTTCTGATATTAAAAGATCATCTAAACCAAATTCATTCACTCCAGAATATTTGGTTTTTTTTTAAATTTTTTGATATAATGCATTAAGAGCATTACTTATATGATCTTTTTCTTCATCAGACTCACAAATATATTCTGACTGACCTTCACTACCTTTAAAAACATGTACAGTGAAATTTTGACCATTTAATTCTGTTACTATTGACATTCCTACCCATATAGGAAATGATTCTTGCCCATTGTCAGTAATTATTTCCAACCACCAATTACATGAAAAAGGTCCAAAATGTAATTCAGGAATAATGAGACCACAAGAAATAAGTGTAGGAGCAAATATTTTACTTTTAGTCATAATTATGTAGAATAAATACACAATTGTATAGTAAGCGAGTTGAGATTTTGACATGTTTTGAATTTATGTTTTAATATCCCCACAATTTACTGATTTACTAATTAATTTTCAAATTTTTGAGCATTTGTATCACAAATCACGAATTAAGATAACAATGGGATATTAATTATGATCACATTACAAATGACTAAATTTGATCCCTGAAATTTCTTTGTAGTATTATGTTCACTTTGTCTGATTTTGTTGCAGTCTGCCCCATTGGACAACCTGCACTATATTCTTAAATATCTAGAAAATTATCATCATCATATTAATAGTTTCTAATTGACAAACAATTAACAAGATTAAAATTTGTAGAATTAATATTACTAATCAGTCTAATTTTAATTTGTACAAGGCCAATATCTGTCCAATACCTTCTTCAAAAAACATAGATATTCTAGAATTCCAATGAAAGGTTATTTTGTTATGTAACATATTTCATATACAAACACAAATCTATGACAATTTAATACATACTATTACATAATTTAATACATACTGGTTTATAATTTGTGTGAAATAACATAGAAAATTATTTAATAGACAGAATACTGAATCAGTTTTAATTATAGAAATTTAAAATGGCAAAATGCCTACTTTAATTGTAAAATTTTTGGTGAAATAAAACCACATTCACATTATGGGTTAAATGCAAGAGAATGGCGAGACACAACTAAATTGATTTATTA